TTATCCATAGCATTGTAATTGTTGTATTCATTTCTAACTGATTCTAAGCAAGACGTTCACACCAAACAAGCTAATCAATTAAAGTGTTCCATTTTCCAAAAACGATCTGGAGTTACTTCATTGTCTTAGTGGTGTTTTTTATCAAAAAATTTTGTCAAACTGCTCTCTTCACATTCGTACGAAATCATATCAGTCATGGAAAGAGTGATCAGTGAATTGATCAGTGAATGATCAGTGATCAGTGAAAGAGTGATCAGTGAATCAGTGAGCTCAGTGAATTTCGAAGATGCTTCCAGTGGAATGATCGAAGTTTAGAGTGTTCATCGATAGATTTGTTTGATCTTTTCAGATAACGCAGTCATTCTATGCCGTGCTAAACATGGAAACGTTTTCTGTGAGAAACTGGCCGCATCATGCTCAATGGTGCTGCGCCTACCAGCTCCAAGACTGCGAGCTCATTTTATTTTCAGTATGCCCGCTAAACTTTCGGACTGTATCAAGAAAGGTCTGTTGATCGTGCATACTTTCGCTCATTTTTCACTCACAATTCCCTGTTAGTGTTGTAGGAACCGCAAAAAAATTTTCTCGGTGATCACCGACCCAGAGCCCTGTTGATGGCTACCGCAACTCGCGGTATTCATCGATCGCATAATTTTGAGTATCGGTCGGTTGCCGATCGCCTGTAACCGCGGTGAGGTTTGCCACCACCGTCACCAACCGAGCAAGCCTTGTGGTAGGTTACGGTTGGTGATCATCGACGGGTCGTCGGTAATCACCGCAGCTCGCCGGTAGCTCCGACGGTCAGGGATCGGCGCAAATCCGTCGGGTCCATGATTATCGACCGACGGATTTTCGGTGGTCAACGACCCGACACTATTTCCTAACGAGTTCGATGCAGCATTTGATTGTCAATAGTATTGCGGTGATCGGTATCGATAGTATAAGTTGTTGTTGTCTTCAGAGAACTACGGTGCCATGCTGTCCGTGGAATTCGGCTTTAGCAGAGTACAAACTTGGATGCAGACTTGTAAGGTCAGCATTACAACAGGCACTGTGACAACGGTTGAGAAGCAATGCATCGAGAAATGTAAGTGCCCAAATGATGATTATTCAGTTTTACGCGATGCGCCCACTCGAGAAACCAAAAGAATGCGGGATCCAAATTTTTTGGATTCTCCAATTCATTAATATGCGGGTTTGAGCAAATTTGGGCCATGAAATTAGTGAACGAC